AAAAGATGCAGGATACTCACAAAAAGTGTCATAGATCAAGAAGGGAATGGTAACCACTGAGACTTACTGGTCATCTTTTGTGATGCGATAATACTTTTCTGCATGCTGGCGCTGGCCAATATATTGAGCAAAGCGCTCGTCATGTGTAATGACAATTAATTGGAAGTTTTCTTGACCTTTCCTGTCCTCCATAATTCTGGTGATATCGAAGAAACAAAGAGGCAACTCTAAAGAATCTATATTGAAAAAGAGCTCACAATTAATAAATGAACACCAACCACATACCTTAAGAGAGCTGCTGCAAGACTCTCACTGTTGGGGCCATCTAGGTTTGTGGTTGGTTCATCCAGTGCTAGAATTCCGCAGTTGAGACAAAACGTTTCAGCCAATGCCAATCTTATAATAAGTGATGCAAGGACCTGAAGAATAACAAAGCTTTCAGTAAACAGCTGAAAAAGAGTCCAGTAAAGGTTTCTTTTCTTTTTATGGGGGAGGGGGGTGGTAGGAGGCAAAGCAAAGAGAAAGGACATCGTCAAACCAAAGCTTTTATTGACATATAAATTAAGTGAACACGTTAAAGAAAGAATGAAAAATGAGATGATTGATCACCTTTTGGCCAGCACTACACCTCCCTCGCATCTCTAGCTCAGTATCACCGGTTTGCATCAAAACCTGTGAATCACAAGCATTTTTTTAAAAAAGGAAAAGTGAAAGAAGTCAGACAAACATTCAGGGGCTTCAAGCGTGAAGCGCACAATTCACCAAAAAAAAAAATACCTAATATATGGGGATTTAGTACTTACACATCAATAATAATTTCAATTTACACTTTGCCCTTGCCGCCACAAGGTGGATTTTAATTGGATTTATTCTTTACAGCTTTTACCATGTTTGAGTATACATAGGAAAACATCTTCACGTTAGAACTAATTCTATTCACACACCTTCTCAAATACCATCACATATTAAATTCTTTCAGCTGATAAAGAAAACACTACATAGCAGGCTTTAAAGATAGTTTAGTACCCTATAGCTGTAGGATCGAGTACCAGAACCTTCGGAATCTGAATGAATGCTTATGTAATCTATGTCCTGGCCCCTGTAAGTCTGCTGCCACAGTTCCCTGATAATCTTATTTATCTCTTCCATTTTCATTGTATGGAAGCGCATCAGTGCTCTGAAACAAGAGAAACCAAATAGAACATTGAAAGTATTTAATTCCACATTTGATCAAGTACAGGAGACGCCTGAAAAGAGTACAACATACAAAATGGTCATCGTCTGGATAAGACACAATTTTTTCAAAAAGAAAAGGGAAGGGAGCTCGAAAAAGTTGGATGCTTAAATTTTGTACAACGTTGATCTAGGAAACTAACGTTACATGACCTAGGGAGCTGCATGTAAAGAGTAGGACCTGTAAAGAGATTTGAGAATGAATTGCTTTGTTATTGCCTCAAGTATGTTGGGGTTTAAAGCAATAAAATACAATTGCGTTTTAAGTCTACGTATAGAGTTTGTTCTATCCTCAAAATTCTAGCATTTTTTTCATTCCAAATGATCCACCACACCACGGAAGGTATGGTGTTCCTTATGCAGTAAGAATGTTTAACAATGGCCTTCATCTGCCAAGCAAATATAAACTCAAAAGCAGAACTTGGCATGCACTAGTAGATACCCAAAATATCAAAGAAAAGGCTTCATATCTGATGGTTGACTTCAAAATGAATAAAAAGATGATTGATATAACTTGGGTATATATTTCAAACCTACCTTTTTGAATGAAGTCCTTTCTTTAAACGAAGAAAAGACACAAGGGTAGCGACCTCAAGGTTTTGGTCTGTGGTAAAAGTGCAGCTCATGATTTGTGTATTAGGTGCATGTCATGAGATCGAACCATGATACACACAAATGCCCATTATTTAAGTAGAAAGAGTAGGGTAGGTCCATTATCCATTGTGTTTAGAACTGTGCGCTAGCTGACCCTCAGAGATTTCTTGGTTATCCAAAAGAAGAAAAGAAAGGACCGGTGGTTAGCAATGTAACAAAACATTCTCTTCTTCTCCTCCTCAGTACTAAGAAAAAGAGGTAAATGATTCAACAAAGAGTAAACAAGTCTACACTAATGCCACCTCCCTTAAATTTTTAACTCACTAACACTAAAAATGGTAATAACAGAAATTTTTTTAAGAAAAAATATGTGCTCCATTCGTGAAAACAAAACATATTTGAACTACTACAATTAATATAGTCTTGAATATTCTTCAACAAGTAAGAAGAAAAATGTTTGAGTGCTAGAACCACGTGCTGTTTGTGAGAATGCATGTAAACTTACATAAAGTACAGAAAGAATCTAATAGCTAAAGTACAAAGAGCTCACTTGTCAAGGGCATTGTAATATCTGTCCAGATCCTTGTTTGCCATCTCCGTAGTCTGTCCAAAAGTACATTAATGACACGATTAGATACTCTAATGCCATAAATAACTAAGCAATTAGCTTCATACTTGCACCAATGGACTAAGATATTACCTTCAGCTGGATTAGCTGATCAAAATAGCGTTTGTCAATATCCTTGTACTGTGCCTGCTTAAGATCAACTTTGTTCTTGGAAATGCTGCTTTGATAAACAGATAGGGTACCATGGCACTTGTTTAACTGCAATAAGATAAACCATGTAAATTCAAAGGTCAATAGATTGCCACATACAGAGATTTGATTTGAATCTAAACACTTACAGTGCTTTACTGAAAGGAAGGAATATCAAAGCAATAAAAGTGTGAGTGAACAGTCTAGTGGAATGACAACCACCAAGGAATCAAGGAAAAGTATCCAAGAGAAATGTCGAATAAAAACTACAGCACTCACTATGTAGCTGATGCAAGTTATTTGATGATAATGCGTGATAAACTACTTTGAACTTGTTTCTAATCCACGTTGCCGAAGCTCAACTGTGCCTAGATAGAATCCACTTTCAGACACACTACTGTTGTAGCTAGAAGATTTAAATTAAGTAGACCAGATTATAGACCTTTAAAGTTGAATTCTCCATCATGGTTAAGCTTGTATATTTTCCAACCTTTTCTGAAAGTCATATGGAAGCAAGAAGAGAAAAACTCCTGACCGTAACACATCCATCTAAAGTCAAAAGGTAGCAAATGATGTCTGTCGGTTATTTATACTAAAACTGATTTCTGAGTTCATTCACGAAGAGATCAATTCATACCTCAGAAAGTAGCTTCTCTCTTTCATGTGAAAGCTTTTTAAGCTCAGCCTCAATAGTGGAGAGGCCACCCATCTTCAGCACTTTATCTTCCAGTAATTCAATCTCACAGGTGAGCTTATCAACATCAGCCTTTGTTTTCCTATAGTTCAAGTTATCCTCAATGTTGCGTCTCAAATTGTCCTGGTTCTGCATTAAAGCCTTACTTTTCGCCACTTCAGCCGAAATCTCTTGCTTTCTGGACTCACAGTTTTGAAGCTGAGATTCTGACAGGCTTCGCTTGTCCTGCAGTTCATTCAATTTTTGTTCTTTCTTTAACTCATAATACCTGCAGCACAAAACTAATTTCAATATCACCGGTTAAAGAACAATCTTCATTCCATCTAATGTATTGGACATACTCTCTAATTTTGGAGGTAATCTTCTTAAGTTCATCTACATCCTGTTGATAATGTCTTCTAATTTCTGCCTGCTCTTCCAACTCCTTGCTAAGTTTTGTTTTCAGATTTTGGTAGTCCCTAAAGTGCTTGTCCTTTTCCTTCGACAAGGGACCAACAGCCTCTGCAAGATGCTGAAGTTCCCAATTATAAACAAATGCAATGTGGACTAGGAATCCATACTGTTTCTAGTTTTAAAAAGTAGTAGGTTCATGTAACAACATCAAAGATAGGCCTGCAATGGGTTGGATCAATTAACAAGAAACCAACAAAAATACAATTATGAATAAAGTCTGTCTGAAATCAACTTATGTGAAACGAAATTTCTAAGAGCAAAGATCTTTTTTCATCCATAAAGTGCTTTTCGACCTGGCACATGCACAAAGGACTTCATAATTCCCAAAGAATAAATTGAGATATCAGGAGCCTAATAGATAGCTGGCAGGAACAAAAGATAGCAAAGTTCCAGAAGCAGCTTTGGAGGACCATTCCTTTGTGTATTCTCTGGACCATTCGGAATGAAAAAAATAGTGCCTGTTTTGAGAATAACAAGAGTCACATTTCTAGAATTAAGAACTTATGTCTGCATAATCTATTTTTCTGGTGTAATAGGTGTTTATTAGAAAGTATGGATCAATACTTGGAATTTCTGAATCTGCCAGGAAATATGTAACAGGGAGCTATTTATAGGTGCTATCTGTTTTGTTTTGTACTATTGTCTACCTTCTTGGTACATTCTTTTAATAATACTTTACCCCATGGATAAAGTAATATTTACCTCAACGTTCTCAAAGAATTTCCAGCTAAGCTAAGCTAAGCACTTGAAACAACATTTAGCATAATTCAATTACTTGCAAAAAGGTTTTCATTTTCCAACATTTTTAGAATATTTCAAATTGTTTTAAGGCGAAAGACAAACTTTTTAAACCCTATAAAATTTTGGTATAGTTCATATACTTGCATTAAGGTTTTCAATAACATCATTCTAGGACTATTAGCTTAGTACGTGCATACAGGATTACAGGTGTCATATACATGCAAATTATTTTGTTTGTGGCAAGTTCAAACACGTGAGATGCGCCTGACACACACAAAATCAATGTCGTTGCAAACATAACTAAATAAATAAAAATGCACCCTCTTTACAGCTTAAACTTTTAGATGAGATGGTCAAACAATTCAATATGGGAATAGAGTAAGCAGAGATCTTGGGTTCAAGTATCAACGCCATCTATTGTAAAATATATTTCTATGTGCTTGGCCTAAGAAAAGAAATCAGGCCGGACGTAAGAGACCCCATGTTGAGACATATTAGATAAATTCAAGTATAATCTCTATAATAGTTTGAACTTCAACTGATGTGGCCACTCAATTAAACATATATTGTGGAAGAATAGTCAACATCCAACATATAAGAATAACCTGCATCTTAAAACAACCTACTCTTTATCTTGTGGTAGACAACCATAAACAATTGACAAAATCCTCAAGGTGCATATGAATCGTGTTGATATAATGTGTAGTGCTATAGGACAAAGCCCAATAATGGTAATTGTAAAGAAAATGGAGCTAGTTGGACCTAACTCAACCCAGAACTAGCTCATGAGGTGAGGATTATACTATATAAGGAGACAAGTCCCATATCCCACAACCGAACCGACGTGGGACAACTTAACATCCCCACATGTCGGGTCTGCCAATGGGCATTGATACCAACAACAACAAAAAACAAGTGTAATCCCACTCTAGGGAGGTAGTATGTACGCAGAACTATGTTGCTCGGACACGGATGCGGGTATCCGATCTGGGTGTGAATATAGAGGTCAGATCCTTTATAATCTAAATTTTAAGATTCCGGGATACGAGATCCGAATATGGATACTGATACGGGTACGGAGATTTGGCAAAAAATAATTCAAAATTTTAAAATAGATTTATAAAATATACTAAATTATGAGACATTTTGTGGAAAACTTACTTGTAGGCTGTGGATTGTGGAGTGCAGCCAATAATTTTATCTTTCATTCACAAAATTTCTCAACAGAGAAGAATGCTAAATAGAATGAACCAAATATAGGGAAATAAAACTCTTGAAGATTTAGCAAACACATCAAGATTTCACTATATTGATTTACTTATAATGGAGAACAAATGGGGTACAATATTTTTTGGCAGATAAACTCCAATATAAAGTCTCGTTTAAGAACTTTATTACTCCTACACTTATCCTGATTCCCCTCGTCGAATGCTCATCTTCCGCAAGTCCCTCTTTGAAGCTCTCTGCTTCTCTCCCTCGAGAAAAAAAGGAGCAGCAAGAATTGCAGGATCCATTCAAGGCCCTCCCCAATAGCGGCATACCCGCTTCAAATTTCACCCAGCTTTCGTTTTGATGTTGGAAATCAATATGTATTTTATCTCGAATTTTTCTATAGCTTTGGTCAAAGTACCCAAAATCGGTTGACCATATTCGATATGGAACCCACACCCACACTCATGTCGTGTCGACACTCGACACAGATGTGGCAGGGAGTTTGAAGAGTCCGCGCAACATAGACGCTGACCTTAGCCCTACATTGAGAAGGTAGAGAGGTTGTTTCCAATAGACCCCAATGGGCGTTGATACCATATTGAGAAAATGGACCTTTGTCATATCTCAACCACAAAAGCTAGCTCATAAAGTGAGAATTGGCTAAAATCATATAAGGAGAGCAACACCATACCCGACAACCAATATGGGAAAACTTACAGTAATATATTTGTTGATTAGTGTAATTAGTAAAAAGATTTGATTAGATTAGATTTTATTCTCTAGCCTAATTATAGGCAAAGTAGCTTGATTGTAGCAATAACTAATTTCTTTTCCTAGTTCAGCCATAGGATTCATTGTATAAAATGTTAATACTCTTGATGTAAATTGATATACAGAAATACAATAAGCTTTTCCTTCTTCTTGAACCATCATGGTATCAGAGCCTCTGCTGCAGTTTTGAGGTGAGTTTCCTCCCTTAGCAGCACTATAGGGTTCCAGTTGTTTGAAGAAGTCGAGTTTTTTTCTCCCTCACGGTGGCTTTACGCATCAAAAAAAATTATACACTAGTAGTGTGGAAAAACTAACACCACTACAAGCTTCCTCAGGCGACGGCGAAAAAAAACCAGTAAGCAGCTCCGAGAAGGACCTCTCCACGCGCCGTCAACAACTCTGACTCCGACGACGCGTAGATCTCACGCGCCGGCGAGTAGACAGCTTTCCGGCGACATTTTCCTGATTTTTTTTTTATCCTTTCAGATCGCCAGCAGTCCCACATTAGTTGTGGGATGGGCAATTGGTCTTCTTATATGGTCTTGGACAATCCTCACTTTATGAGCTAACTTTTAGGGTTGAGCTAGGTCCAATATCCATTTTCTTAACTTACATAGAGGAAATTGATGCCTAAATGGAAAAACTATGACAACAATGGCTGGGCATTATAGTTAAGACAATAGTAGATTGAGGGAAAGAAAATTGTATGCTAGGTATGTCGATTGAAATACTAACGGTGCATACATGTCCACCTTTAAGTTGAGAAACTCTTAAGCGGTTTGGATATTGTAGTTGCATTAAGTTTCGCTCAATCTTGTGTATACTTCATACATTTTGTGGTTTACATTTCAAAAGATTTTAACATTCTTATTTGGCCATCTTATTTTAAGAAAAGTTAATTTCTTAGTTCTTGGTTTTCTCACTTTAAAGATAATGCATTTCCTTTTGTAAAATAAAAATGTTAATTTCTTAGTTTTGCTTTTTTCACTTTAAAGAGAATTGCATTTCCTCTTGTAAAATAATGAGAATTGAAGGAAATAAGACTCTTTTAGCACGATTTAGATGTTAGGGTTTTCTTTTTTAATACATCTAGTTATATATATGGAGAACTAGCACGCCGAAGAAGGTAGCACTTTTTACTTGGTACGTTGGTGTTGCATGTCAAAAAAGCATAGGCAAGATATGGATCATCGCTTTTTTAGATGGTAACATATTTCATTAGGATTAAAAAAAAAGGTAGGTCTCAGCACAAAGATAGTGCTAAGAGAAACAAGCCCTAGTTACAAGACATCCAAAAAGGTTAAAAAAACAAGCAAAAGACAAGTCTTGTGTCAGTCACAAGGACTGAGATCAACTAAGGACTCTACATCTTGAACTAAGCTTCTATACACCAGAAGTGAAAGAAAAATATACTATTAATTTTGATCTTGTGTTCAATGATCGCTGAATGTTCAAAGCATCTGGAGTTTCTTTCCAACCAAACTGTAGTGGATATGGATCATCTTTTATATTGCAAGTTTTCTAGAGAATGTGGGCCTTGCTATTTACAACATTCAAACATCATGTTGGTGCACCCTAGAAAAGTAGAGGAAATGATGGCAGAGTGGAGCTCGAGATCGTCTGAAAAGAGGGGGGGGGGGGGGGAAGACAGCACCTTTTTGCACATTTTGCACATTTTCGGTCCTGTGAAAGGAACGAACTTTTGACGGAGTAGAAAGTCCAAAATCGAGGGTCAAGAGTTCTCTTTAATTTCTTTATACTCTTGGTGTAAAATGGAAAATTTTGCAGAAAGCTGGTTAGACTTCTGGGAGGCTTGATGTCTATGATTTTACACACTCTTATAGAAAGGCAAACCTCCTAGATAAATAGATGTTGGAAATCCGGGGAGGAATAGCACTCAATCACACATTTTCTCTTGAAGACAAGTGGAGAAAAATATAATTCCATTACTTCTCTCAAGTCTCAACTTGACTCAAGTAAATTGACTATACAACATTATCAGCAAAAGAAAAAAATAAGTTGGCCATACAACATACCAGGTACTCCTCTAACATGTACCTAGTCTAGTACATGTTTCATAATCAGTTCTACAACTCTGCTTTTTCCTAGTACATGTACAAGCCAATAAACTAATTCATGAACTACATAAGTAAAATCCATGTATCGCAGAAAATCTAAAACATCGTTTATTCTTCCAACATAAGGTTCAATCTCCAACATGGAGACTATGATAGGCAATGCTGGTTGAGCCATTCTCATTTGTTGTAAATATCGACACACTTAGTATGCAATCAACAAAATGATACTTGACTTATCAAAAGAAAAAAAAAGGTTTCTCACTTTAGAACAGATCTGGATTTTTACTTGGGTATTGGAAGGATGCTAGGTTACCAAAGTGGGCAAGACAAGTGGCAGATAAGGGGAGAGAAGGCTCCAAGCATCAGGCTTCTCTCTGAATTTAGGTAACGGTTACGGATGTATGTGACGTGAGCCCTTCTCTCAGTTACTTTTTTAACCAAAAGCATATCAGTTTTAAGGTGTCATGAGTGCTAGCAAGGTTTGATACACAAGGAACAAACGTGGAGCAAGTTGTAGAGGTGAGGGATCACAGGTGCTATTTTCACATAACTCCCAGTACACTGCTCTTTTAAGAGACTCCATGAAAACAAATACATGTTAGGGAGCAAAACAACTCGGCCCTTAAAAGAACGAATTAAAGAAGAAGACTACATCCACTAAACAGTTGAATCTATGCTATTGGCTAGCTAAATGCAACTATGATAACCATGAACCTAATAAAACCCGTGAAAGGATTACCTTCTCTTCAAGCTCAACTTTATTTTTCTGCTCCACCAAGTCATCCAATTCCTCTTCTGCCCTTTTAACATTGTTCAATTTGTTTGCTGCTTGCGTCTTCTCTTCCCTTACAGTAAACCATCTTAATTGGAAACTTGAAAACTCATTCTCCATGTACCTCCGATCATCTTTCAGCTTCTCCACTTCCGAAGACAAATTTTCCCTGGTTGTCAGTTATAGGACAGTGATAAAAGTTACAGTCTAAGGCATAATTTTGTATTACTACAATTTAGGTGCTGACTCCCCTATTAAAAATACAAATACAAGAGTTTACCAAATAATCAGAAATTTGGTCTAACATACAGAAAAGAAGAAGAAAGAAGCACTTTAGCAGAGAGGAAGAATAATATACCTTTTGCTCTGCAGTTCATCCAATTCTGATTGAATTTCCTCCATAGATCTTATGCCTTGCCCGCGGATATCAAGACCATAATCCAAATCATCAACTTGCTTCTGCAGAGCTTGAATTTCTTGGAAAAGCCTGTCAGATGTTTCTACAGGTTGTATTAGCGCATCAACTGCATCCTTCTCAGCCTTTATCTGAGCCAAGACACCTAAAACCTGCTAGCAAAAAGGATTATTATGTACAATCAAAAAGAGTTAATGGACTATTTGTATGATAATTATTTCCCCTTCTCTTGCAAGCTCTGGGGAACATGTGCCCTCACTAATAGCATTATTTGATTGATTTCATTACTTACAACCTACATATTCATGCTAGGTTGCATGCTCAGCTAAAGCTGAACCAGAAAGAGAGAGTAGTGGTGACTATGTTATCGCTCATCAAAATTGGATCTCCAAAAGAAGCTACCTTGGAATTTTATAGAGCAGTGATCACCACTTAGGGAAGCCAATGACCGAGTTTATCAACTCCTTCTAAAATACTTCGTTGTTTTATCAAATCTTTCTGAAATGATTCTAGATCCAACAAAATCAGAACTCGATAAAAATAGACCAACTCTGCCAAATCCCAAGCAGCATAATAAGAATAGTGCAATAAAAGACAACTTAAATAGATATGAGAAATGTGTAATATAGTGAAGAAAGCATGTAAAACATCATAAGAGAAACCAGCAAAATTCATAAGATGCCAAAAGTTAGTCTTGTATTGTGAGCATGAATTCCGAGACAAGATATAAAGCTGATATATGTTAGCATATTTGTCTTTGCAAACAAGAACATAGAGTACATGAAGGCCACTTGTTAGTGTTAACATTACTAAAGGATGACGGACATCCTCCAACATCTATTCTCCATGCATAGATGTATGTAATAAGGAATTGGTCACTGGATATATTTCCTTAGGAACAGGTATCTTATCCAGTTTGCTGAGTCCATAGAAAACAAAAGGAGGAAGATCAAATTATGTTGAAAAAGGTGGCGGGAAAAGCCAAAATGGTGCAGGTGGGACAAACAAGCTAAGTTGCTCGGACTTGGGTACAGGTGTCTAATATGGGTGCGAATCTATAGGCGAGATCCTTCATGATCTAAATTTTAAAATTCGGGGGTACGGATACGGGTGCGAGGATTCGGCTAAAAATGATTCAAATATCTCAAATTAGAGTTATAGAAATATGCCAAAATTATGATACATCATGTGGAAAACCTACATGTGCTTGTAGAGTGCAGAAAGTTTCTCTTTTATTCTCGATTTCACCCTAGCTTTTGATTAATTTTAGAAATCATTGTATCTGTCTCAAATTTCTCCGTCGATTTTGGTCAAAGTGCCCAAAATCGATTGACCAGATTCAGTACCTATCCCATACCCACACCCACGTTGTATCAACACGGGTGCGGCACCAAAACTGAAGAGTCCGAGCAACTTAGCAAACAAGTCATTACTTAAACAGAAAAGGTGGGGATGAAAGCCAAAATGCTGCAGGTGGGCCAAACAGGTCGTTACTTCAGCACTCACAGTAACAGTTCCAATATATGACTGGTAAAATCCCAATAGTAGAAAATAAAATATAAAGGATCTGAAATTACATCATCAAGAGACTGATTTTTTTGATCTAATTCCTCATTTAGCTCATTAAGGTTCTTCTCTGCTAGAGGTATTGATTCCTTTCCCACTTTGAGATACTCTTCATAAACCAAACGAAGCTTGTCTAACTGTTGGAAACGAGAATCAGCATTCGAAGAATCCATAGCTAATACTTTAATATGCTCAGCAGAGCTAGCAGCTTTCACTCGTTGCTGCAATTCATAAACAAAACATGAGTCAGGACAGTAGTAGTCAGAAGATGACTCTCCAAAAGAAACGGAAAGAATGACAAAATAGAAGTAAAAGAATGACCTTCTTAACAAATTCATCCTCCTCTTCAGCAGAGAACGGACGCTCGCAGCAAGGGCAAATATGATGAGCACGAGCAACTCTTTCAAATGGATCAAACATTTGCCGCATACCATCGGCAATGTTGTACTTGCTGCATATCATCACATGAAATTTGAAAAAACAAAATCTAAAGTCATTCCAAGTTTCCCAAAGTGGAAGAATCACAAAAAGGTGTTTCTCATTGAACCGGTAAGGCAGTAACTCTGAAGAGAAATATAAAACTTAATGTTTCATATATGAGTATTTTAGCAAAAACAGAAACTGTTACAATTGAATATCGGAAGACGGAATGGAACATTGACCCATCTAGACAAACCTTTTTTGGACATCTCTTTTTTCTTTGGCTGAGTCCATAATTTTGGGATAGGACTCTACACCAGCAAATTCCTGGTCCAGCAACTGGAGCTTTGATTCCAGAAATCTCTTTCTTGCTGCAAGCAGTAGCGGGAGATCTATATAAGCCCTCTCCACAAACGATTATCACCTCAAAGATTAATGGGAAACGAAGGAGCTCAAGCTAAGATACTTTATTGAAGAGATTAATTAACTTGCGGAAAAGGAATAAAGAAGGGGAAGAAAAGGCCTCAATACTGCTAAATTGCTTTGTCAACCACCCCTTTATCCAGCTATATATTGGTTAAATTAATTTTTGATAAGGATATATTGGTTAAATTAATTATCTTTGAAGGACTTAACAAGTAACAATCAGAATCTCTAACTCTGGTAGACTTTAAATATGATTCGAAATACAGACTGTGAGTAAATGACTGCTATTGTTTTGATAAGTCAGGAGAGAAATGACTACTATTCTGAAGTAGTTCTTTAGGAAGAATTTCTCAAACTCTGTGTCAATAAATATTCACCATATTAACCCATTCAAATAGAATCTTATAAGAAACTTTATTAAGTTGCGAAAAGGAAATTTTCCTAAGAAGCTTTTGAACAATCACTAAGAGAAGACACTATTCCACAAATTAGATTAAAGAAGCTCAGATATGAGCCTTACAGTCCATGTCCTTGTGATATTTGGACAAGTTATGCTTAACTTCTTCTATTTTCATCTGCGACATATTGACCTCCTTCTCAGCTTCGCGGGCTTTGGCACTCAAGTCATCAAACTCTCTCTGGAGAGCCCTGTGCTAGGAAGGTGCAACTTAAAAGAATATCAAAGAGAAACATAAAAATGCACAAACAATGAAGGAAAAACCAGAGATTGAAAAATAGAACTGTAAGATTCACTGATCACTGTAATGTGAAAAGACTTCTACCTACCTCCAACCAAGAGAGAGGAAGTGGTGTTAGGGGATGGGGTTTACTATATCCAAAGAGAAAAAAAGGATTCACAGGCATTGTAAACCAAGCAGGGCCATTTTATTAGTAGGATAAAGAATTGGGACCAAGCAGGGCCATCTTATTAGTAACTTAGACATAAGCAATCAAAAAAGGATGTCAGACAAACCAAGTAACTAAAAGCTACGACATCTGAAAAATAAATGAAGTGGTACTAAAAACAGAATACAGATATCAGTATTAGACATCGAGGTATACCCATGATTGTAATTGTGCCGGTGCAAAGTGCAAATCACCTTCCATCCAGAAGACAATTAAAATTGGTGTTTAATCTGATCTCTGTGTCATTATAAAGTGGTTTCATATAAGAACAATTTTGATCTCCTCATGACGAGACTCCTAACAATCTCCGTCTTTTCTTTAATGAGTAATCATTCTATTCACAGATATAATTGCACCCCAAGAAGGTGATACAATGTTCATAAAAACTTTATAGTTTAAGCTCTAAGGAGCTCATAAGAGTTCAAGGATCTTTAACAAGTCAGATGTTGTTTGCACCAAAAGAAGTGTATACAGACTTTTTCTCTCAAGCTTATTAGATAGTTACTTCTCTTCAAAATATCTTGAACTCTAGCCGTAATGTCTATCCGATGCAAAGAGGAATAGCATTCTAATATTTCCTTATCTTTTTATGCACTGACTGTCCTCCCACATCCTGAAGCACTCTCCCAAACAGTTAGGCATATTCCACTGGAGTCCAGAGAGATTGAAGAACGTGCTCCATAGATCAGTAGCCAGCTTTCACTGAGGGAGCGGGTGACTGATTGTCTATTCTTTCTTTTCACACATAAAGCATCTCTTATGCTGTTGTATCACCTTCATAACCTGGAGTAACACTGCTCCTAAGGATGCTATTGGCACCTCATTTGCCTCACAAAGAGTTAGCTCAATATCTGGCTAAGGTCATGTGAGATATGCAGGTTTGAGGAATCCTTACGTTTCCAAAAAGTTAAACCATTCCAGCTCAAAGACTTCTTGATCATCATGCTGAAGCTTTTCATCACCAAGCTGTCTATGCCAATTGGCTACACAACACTTGCCTTCCATGTGACCTCTAAGCATCTCATGCTCCTCCTAGGATGACTTGAACATAAGCAGTATACTTGTCCACTCTGATCCTTGTCCTAGTTGTTTCAGCTGTTTGACTACCAGACACATATGCATCCTAAGACAACACCTTTTCAGTAATATATAGGTTACAACCGTACAATTAAGGTTCTAGGATTTTAAGTTTTTCCAAAGGAAATATAGAAACTGGGAAAAGAACAGATTATAAAGCCTGTGCCACTAAAGTAAGGTATACATATGTCCATATTGATCGACAATAAAGTACTGAGATTTGCATGCATGCACTTTAGCTTTCAACAGGGATCTAATTAGTGCATATTTTACACAAGAAAGGAGAAACATCAAATAATGCACTTTTTGCCCCTCAACTGTGGAGTACATTTTCGTGTCTGTGTTTTGTTTCGCATCTGCCAATAACAGCAGTCACACCTTTGTTTAAAGCTAAGAATGGTGGTGATCGAACTTCAAGAAAAAAAAATCAAAGATTAAATATATTATGAGGACGCAAGAGATAGGGAAAAAGAACCTTTGTGCCTGAGTAATTTCTTTCTTCAAGTCCTTGTCAGATGGAAGCCTTCCTTTCAATACTCCTTTTACCTTATCCTTGTTATCATCCATTCTGTTAGTTTTATTGAAAAAAAGCATTACTTGTGAACAAAAGAGTATAGCTATAATAAACACAACAAAAATGTGGCGCAACACTACGAAAAGGAAAAGTGACTTACATCTTTTTCTGTTTCTACTTTAGCCCTAATTAATTGTGGATGAAACACTATAAAGTGAAAAGTGACTTACAGCTTTTTATGTTTCTTCTTGAGAGTTTCCAGCTCTGCCTTCTTAAGAGAGAGCTTAATTCTATCCTCAGACTCATTGGCCATACGATCTTTTTCAGCATGAAGATCTTTAAGTTTTTGGTCTATGGTGAACATTTCAGTCTGCTTTTGCCTTATGTTTGAGTCAAATTCTCTTTCTGCAAGCTGCTTAGACTTTCTCTCGCATTCAATTTGCTGAAAGAACAAAGATACGTTAGCCACATAACCAATGTTCATCAAAAAGATACGTTAGCCACATAACCAATGTTCATCAAAAAGAGTTGAAATATTAAGCAGAGACATCAAACCATTTTTTTCTCTCTCTCATCAAGATGAGCCATATTAACATTAGAAATCTCATGTTCAAACTCATTCCGCTCATTTTCCTTCTCTTCAATACGCTTCAAAATGCCATTCTGCAGTGATGGAACCAAGAAAATGTGTAAAAATGCCACATCATTAGCATACCAAGCAATGTTACCCATAAGAATAAACCTTAATATCTGCTCTAGCCACTTTTTGCGCCTCCTTTTCATTCCAGAGGTTATTTGCAATTTCGTATTGATGCCACGCAGCTGCAATTTCTGCCTCATTTGTTTCCTAAAACAACGTTACTCCAAGTGAAAGTTAGCTTCTTCATATGATGTCAGAAAAGTTTAGATGAAGCAAAGTATGAGCGAGTATGACAGATGTCAGGTATTGCTTTTCTATGTTTCAGAGAAAGCAATTACAAAGTTGAGAACATGAAGCACCTAATTTTACAGTTAAACACTGATATCTATGTCTCATGACATCCTTTTTTTTTTTTGAGAAGGTAACATAATTGTATATTAATATAAGACTTCACTAAAATTGTGAAGTCACCCATAATTGTCTCACGATATCCATTTTATCAGATGCATAAAGTAGTCTCACTGAAGGGAACATTTTTAGAGCCACGTATAATTCGGCACTCAAGAGAATCTGCGGCAGCAGATATAGAGAAGTCAACTAGACTAAGTAGCTGGACATGGCATAGGGATCCAACTATCCAGCTGGCATCCCATTGTGGGTCTAGTGGTCCAAACTAAAGTGGGTTTTCCAAAATACATGCTGCTGTTTGAGACAGAAAAACAGAAGTTGACTGGTAATCACAAACCTAAGAACATTGAGAGTAAAGGTCTCATGACTCTTACCCAAGAAAAGAATCAGAACTAACAAAATGAGAAGCGAGAGAAGAGAAAAACTGTTTGCCCTGATGGTCAAACTTTAATCTAAAAGAGCTCCAGCTCCTTATACAGTAGTTTACTACTTTAATAAGGTATATTACCTTATCTACAAGGATCCTGTTTAATACGAGTATTTTAGATATCCTACACACATAGGTATAATGAATCTGGACATAATCTCGCCGAGCAAATAGGTTAAAGACTCGAGTTTTCCTCGTAGATGCTTGATTCTCATAACTAACAGTTCCTCGGTAAACTAGTATGCTAACTGACTATCTGAACAACCAAAGCAAGGGAATACAAGTTCAGAATGGATTTTCTCATGAATGATGTGACAATCAATCTTGACATGTTTGCCCCTTTCCTGGAATGCAGGGTTGGACGCAAGATAAATCTAATAGTAGACCCAATGATGACTATATTAAGTTTAAAGTGAAAATTAATGACAAACAAGATGAATTCAATAAATACTTCCAAACCTGAACTTCATTTCAAGGAAGACTTAATTATCAAACAGCAGCAAGACTTACACACTTAAAGACACAAGTATATGCCATTGGACAGAAACATGAATAACAGAAATGAAACAAAAAGAGAAGGGCATTCAAGCCTCGCAACATAGCTGAATCGAAGTAAAATAAATCTTGAACTGACAAGTTAAAACAACATAGCATGTCTAAATATATGTATATAGGCTGGTACAGTGAAAGAACCACCTTTTTATCTTGTAAATCCTTATCAACATGTGCTAATCGTAGGTTTATACGATTCATTAAATTTAATGCGACATCATCACTGAGCGGCCCACTTGGAAGAGCACCTAAGTTATGTCTTCCAAAAAGCTTCCTGATAGTGACGTCTCTTTCATTCTTTAACACCGCAAGAGCCTAAGGAACAAAAATCAAAAAGAAAGTGAACCTTAAGAAAGGGAAGCAAGATGCGAGAACTTTAAGAAATCAACCAGCACATAGGCCGAAGGAAATTACTTCAGCCTCAGCTTGAAGCTTGCTGATCTCCACGATATAGTCTGTCATGGACTGCTTAAGAAGGGAACTCTTTGTCTCTGAGTCATTCATTTCCCTCTCCAACTTGCTAACTTTCGATTCCAGAAGCGCTATCCTTTCATCAAACTTTGTTTTCCATTCACTCAGCTCTTCATCAGTGTCTAGCAATTCAAAAGTGAAAATATTTGAAGATATCAATTTTTACAAAAAGTACTTCAGTGGATAAACATGCACACATACACAAAATAAGAATTTACTATAGGATATTAACAATATGAATTATGTTCAGCTTGATGTCTAATATGATTTGTGCATCACTTCTGTGCCGAAAGAATAAATATATATCAGTATATTCCTTTTAGTAAACCTTCATTCTCCTCTGCAAGTGCTGCATACTGTTTTTCCTGTTCCCTGAACAATGTTTTCCTTTCAGCAGTTTTGGTGGCTATCTCTTGCTGCAATTGATGAAGGTCCTTTAAAGTTGCTTCAGTATGGTGGATCTTACTCTCTAGAGTCCGAATCTCTTTTTCAAGCTCCTCCATCTGACTTTTCAGTGACTCGGTTTTCTCTTTATCTTGGGCAATGCTTTCCCGCAGCTAGATTAAAAGACAAGATCAAATTACTATCGTTTTATAATGTAGCATTCGTTTAACTAGTGCAGTCCTCAACTAAAGTCAAAAACAGTATTGATATCAGAATTACAGGTTCACATTGCTCTATGGTTAGAGAACAACTATGATCAAAACAACATGGTATTAATATCTGGAAGATCACAGAAAATATAAGTGTGTATGTACATATAGAAGCAACAACAAATCTCGAAACCAAGATTAAGCATTAAAGAAAACTTCAGTCAAAAGCTTTTACGCTGGCTCTCTACAATCCTTCTTGTTTCTAGTTGCATAGCTCAAAAGTTTTCACATATTCACACATACAGGAACAACGATCCCTTGGGTTAATAAGGAGAAGAATCTATCTGCTCATAGCAGAGTAAGACGGGGAGCAGGGAACAGGCCCACTTGCCACGAGGTGAAAGACAGAAGCAAAGTTTCGACATAACAAGCAGATCATTCAAAAAATAAAATGACATAACAAGCAGAGATATGTCTGTTCATTGGAAATCTTTTTATGGAGTGGACGGCAGTATCAATATATGACAGAGCAGTCATGAAGATGGTGGTGCTTATTAACAGGCCTTCAACAAAAGATCTGCCAAATGGATTTCCAGAAGTGGGGACTGATCTCGATAACTTATCAAACATGCTCAAAAATATCCACAATGAATTCCTCTTGGTTTCAAGAATAGGAAATTTCTCTTGAAATTCTTCTTGGAAGGAAATTTATCTTTTTTTTTAATGACAAAATGGGGTGAATTTCTCTTCGTTTTGCTAAATTATCGAGCCTAAAGCAAGGGATTCAAATTATAGTTCCCCCATTTTCAAGAAACAGGATCTAACATCATAAATGAATGAGTAAAATGTAACATCAACAAGCATAAGTTTTATCAACTCTATTGAACTAGGAACAAGGAAAAAACTGATTTAAGTGATAGCTTCTAGAAGTTTGGACAACTGCCTGTGAATAAAAAGGAGAAAAGAGGGAAAAAAAACACATATTTCAATAGAGGTCACTTCAGAACCTTGTAAGCAGCATCTTTCAATGTCTGAAGATTCTCCAGTTTCAACTTATATGTCTTTATTTCTTGAGCTTGATCCTTGTGAAGCTTTTTAATAACCTCCAACGCCTTTGTGTATCTAAACAGTAAAAATAAAGTAGAATTTAACTTACAGAAGGAAAAATGTAAGTTACAGTGCCCATTAGCTCGATATCCCAAGGACTAAACAACTCTGAATATTGAGTAAACAACTTTTTAGCATTTGGTTAGAACCAAACAAATATACACCAAGCAAGAAAAATTGAAAAAAAAAAAGCAAGAAAAACTTTGTCCCTACTCCCTTGTACCAGAAAACCCATATTCCCTATGTAAAGCCAGCTTAACCACTGCACATCAGAAATTGCCATTGCATGGAAATCACCTACCTATTTACACCATAATCTTTCTCAAAAGACCTCTAACACACAGAGAGATGCAGTTATATCTTGACAGACTTGAGCATCACAATCAGACAGCATCTCAACTCTCAAGAAACAACGACAATTTGGGGCAGATGCTCAATGACGTATGTGCTTAAAGATAAAAACGGGTTGTTCCATTAAAGGATGATGAACTAAGTTTTGAATCAGTAGCAAGAAAGACGCGTTTATTTTATTTATTTATTTTTTATAACCATAAAAGCAAAATGTTTCCGAGATAATCATTCTACCTACTCATTAAGCACCAAACTTAGTGAAAAGCTTACTCCAGATGTCATGATTCTGGTATCGAGCTCAAAATCTCATACTAATTTCAAATCCTGATGATGATGCTCAATAAGTGGTTAACAAATACCCTTCTTTTGTAGAGACCAAGCTAGTAAGTTTTGACAGCACTGAGACATGCATGAGTCCAGGTAAACCCGCTAAACCTTAGATATCCTAACTTGAGGACTGTGGACCAAGAATGCAGCTTAAGTAGTGTCAAATTCGGGAATCCAAAAGAACCCTACCCAGAGAATTCTAAGCATTGGTATCTCCAGCAACTTGCGGAAATTCATACAGATGAACATGGATTAGATTCAAACAGCATTAAACGGGAGAAACTGAAGATTCTATTCCAGATTTTGTGCATCTTTTGCGTAAAGAGAGTGTACAAACTGGTGCATCTGTGATTCTTGCCCCTTTGATACCTTTTCTCCGTTAAAAGTTTACTGATGAATCATAACAACATGGAGTAAATGCAAATAGAAGAACGTTAGAAAGGCTGAGGCAGGGACTAGTCTTCTTTTCGATGTTCTTAACTGAGTAAAATGATGATAGGCTAGAATTTCATGCATATTCAAGAAAGAATATAACTACACAGGATGATACAGAAGAATACATCTTTCCAACACCAACTCTGTTGATAATCAATGAAATATCCATTATTGAAAACATGAATTACCTAGTAGCGGAGAAAATATCATCAAACTTCTTTTTCAGTGTAGAAGGATCTTGCAATGGCCAGTTTGCCTCATCTTGGTGAACAAAAATCACATTTTCAAGAATGGCCTTTGAGACACCCATGAGAGCAGGAATTTCTCGGTCCATATCGGCACATCTATAGCTTAGGCAAACTTTCTGCAAGCAAATAAAGCTAAGAATTCAGGAAAGAAACTTTTTCCCTGCCAAACCATTGATCGAATAGAAGTCTAAGCCTCTCCTATCACCCTAAGCAAATCCAAGAGCTTTTTTTTATCAGTAAGCAAAATCCTAAGAGCTATATTTGGATATGATGCAGTATGCTTCAAACAGGAAATGACAAACAATATCAGAGGACAAATATAAGAGGAGAGGGAAGCAAAGGAGAAAATTTAATCTGGCTCACATATTTTCTTTTTTTTCATAGATTGTACAAAAATACAAATTACAATTGCCCCTGTGAGAACGAAAAAGGAAAAGAAAATGATGATGTACCAATGCCAAGAGAATAAAGATATGCTTGAGAGCTCTATGACTCATTACAACTCCTCCCTGTGTGCAAAATTACCCTCACTTTGACCCCAATGTTGACAGGCTCAAGTCCTTCCTTCAACGAATTAAACTGATGAAAAACTTTATAAGATTGTCATTGATTTCACGTACAAATTTAATAGAGCCAACCCTTCGATCAATATTTTGTTTATTATTTATTTTTAGAACATTATTGCTAGCAAATCATGCATTTGATTGTCTTTATTTATCCTCATCACATGTATATATGTGTACCTCAACATTCTTATTTGAGCTATATGAACACAAAGATAACTATCATTGCCGATGAAGGTCAAATTTACCTATTTGCCAGCCATATAACCTTGGCTAACTCTACTATCCTCTTAGTTCATCTCCAAATCAGATAAAATATCAAAATCAAGAAGCCATGGACAAATACAAAAAATGACCAAAAAAAGCAACAAATAAATTAGTGATACCTCTCCAGTGTGAGGATTGATAGTCTGTAGTACACTCTCAATGGCCTTGTACTCCATCTTTGTTGCCTTTTGAGTTAGCTGAAAAGACCTAATGCACACCACATCTTTCCCTGCTGCTGTCTTGAACCGCAGTTTTATCTGCCCCTTTGTCTCCGTCTCTCCAGCCACCTTCACCAACACAGGATTCAGGTATTAATAACAACCTTAAATAACATAAACATAGAACTAGAACAAGCTATCCAGTTCACATCAGCTATGGGGATCATTGACTGGTTTTTTTGGATAAACTGCTACTTTAAACATGATTTTAAAATTTTGGTTGACAAGTGATATTGGAACTCGGTCATTAAAAATTTTATGTACTCCTTCTCAAGTAAGTCCAAGGAGATGAGCACCTTAGGGTCATGGATGAAGCTATGACCAGAGCGAGCATTTGGTGGCATCTCACCAGTGCAGGCAACCTTCAAGCACTCAATTATAGTCTGCTCACAGCAAGAAAAAATAATTATAAAAAGAAACGAATATACAAATTACTCTGCCTACGGAAAACATGTTTTTTGATCAGATGATGGTCATCTTCAACTACTCAACTGGAGTCTACCCAGAGATATCCAAGTTGAAAATCATACAAAAGTTCTGATAAATGCAAAGGACAATTAAATTGTGGACTTTAGCAAGATAAGGCGCTAATGAAGAAAAAACTAAAATATATACTCAATGCATGAATAAGTAATTACAAGCGCAAACAACAACTAGTTGAACAAAGAATTGAAAACTTTCTTTCTGATTCAAACATTAAAATATTATAACTAAACCAAATATATAAAGTAGAAAACATGCTTAAATTTTTTAATGATCACATTTCTTACCTAATATTATAATTTCTTATAGCTAATCACTAAAAAATTCACCAATAAAGTTTGGTTAACAATTGATACATGTTTTCCAAATATAGCTTGCACTAAAGCGCCTAAGCAAGACAATGTGCCCAACCTGATCTTCACCTAGCTTCAAACAAACCTTTACAACGGTAAGTCAACAAACAGAAATACAATAGACTAAGCTATATGCACTAATACTTTAAAGAATTTTTAAACTAACGGTAATCTTTCCATTTCTTTATGGTTACCAATTAATGCTAGTAAAAAAGGGCAAAATATAAAAATGGTCGGTCATCTGAAACTAATTGCGTTCGCTAGCCGGAAAGTGTATTGAATATGTATATTTTTTTTGTATATAATACACATATATACAAAAAAATATACATTTTGTCGGCTATATTTTGTTTTGGAAGCGGCTAAACATATACATTTTTATAAAACTTTTTTAAACCGGCAACGCATAGAACTATTAGAACTTAATTTACACTCAAATAAAATTAGAATTAAAATAACAAAAGTAAATACACGAATGGATTGAGCAACAAATTTATGCAACGATTTAAACCTAATAAACAAACATTTTATGCAGAAATTACACTGACATGAAAAAAATATCAATTCATGTACGTAAATAGAGTGAGTTAAGAGTAGCGATTTTACTGTTTTTCCAGCGCCATTAGGGCCGACGATGAGAGTTAATGGCCTGAAAAAAGTGATGACGTTTTTGTTCTCAGGGTCAAAGCTCCGTATGCCTTTTATAAGCATTTTATCTACTGTGCTCATCTTTGTTTACTTCTGTAGCTGCGATTTGCAGCCAGAGTTTCGTGTTGTGCAATTTTATAGTGGAGATTTTGCTATGCGACGAAGTTGAAATGAAAATTTTGTTTTGAAATGGGAAACAGTTGGGGACTTGGGTATTAACAAAGAGGAAAAAGAGAGGGAGAGAAAGGGTTTAATAAAACCTCAAACTTTCGCCTTTTTGGTTCATTTTGATTAATTTTTAAAGTTAATTTGGATTTATTCGACTTAATATTTTAAAATTTAAATTTAAATATTCAAAAACTAAAGTACTACAAAATTATTATTTTTATGCTAAATCTTGAGAAGGGAAGGAGTATATTATTTTTTGGTTTCTAAAATAGTGGGTATGTAGTCTTTACTCTATTAAAAAGAAAATAGAATTTATCAAAATAGGAGACATTGAGTCCCATTTATTTTGAAAAAAAAAAAATATTGGAAAACATGAAAAATGGCTATGAATTTGTCAAGGTAATTTGGAAAAAATATGATGGCAATGAATATGTGGTTAGCATGTTTCATATGTGTTTTTTCCTTTTGAAAGAGAAACAAAGCAACAAGGAAAAACTTGTTAAAAATCAAGTAAGCGAATGAAATCCCAACAATATCTCCACAAGGCGCGAAGAAATACTAGAAATACAAGTTCATGCCATTCAAAATAAGACGCTTAATTAAAAGTCAGATTGCTTAACCCATTAGTAATCGAATTAGCATTGCATATAGATATAGGTAAGCAATGGTAACCATGTAGTTCCTAGTCAAGAGGTGATAGTGGGATCGACAAGACAATATTACTGTTCTTATGAGACACTCTGATAGTGTATATTTCAAGTAAAAAAGTTGAGTTTATATCCTTGAGCGTGTCTTCCTATATTAACAAATCTTCTCATGTGTTACGTTATTCATTTGCTAGAAAATCTGCACATTTGTCAACAATATATCCGCAGAGCGCAAACAAATGCTAGAAACGCAAGTTCATACCATTCAAAACAAGACTCTTAACTAAAGGACAGATTACTTAAACCATTAGCTATCGAATTGGCATGCCTATAAATATGAGTAGGCAATAGTAACCATATAGTTCCTAGCCAATAGGTGATAATGCGATCGACAAGTCACAACATTACTATTCTTACGAGATATATGATCACGCCCAACTCTAGTCCTAAAAAGGATAAGAGGTCGCTGCAAATATAATTCGGTTTACAAGTCCGGAGTTGAATCCCACAGAGAACTAAGACTTAGCTACAGTTGTTCACTATCACCAAGAATACAAGCTTAAACAATTCCTAACTTATAGATATTAAGATTCTTGTGTTTAACTAACTAACTAACAAATTAATATAATAAATTAACACTAACGATACTATAGGTTGGAGAAAAGATTAAGGAGGTCTGGAGTTATGATTTCCCCAATTGTCGGAATCCTTCCCGCTATGTCTTCTATAATTTCGCCTAAGTATTCTCTACCGATAATGAGCGCTTTGCGTGTTGTAATTCTCTCCCGAGTAATTGCAACAATTTACTAGACATACTCTCCCGAGTTACGCTAGCTGGCTTTAATTACAGCTCACTTAGATCGCACCCAAGGTTTCGTTATCCCTAATCCCACCTTTAAACCTTGGTTATTGATTCCTCACATACGTCGGGAGTGATGTTGTTCAACAACTACCTAAATATGTACTCTCTCCCGAGTAATACATACTAAATAGGCACAACTAATTGAGTGCTCTTCAACCAACCACAATATAAACGTAGTTGAACAAATAGAGAAAAGCTATGGCTCAATTATATAAAAACATAACAAGAATTTATCCTACAAAAGGTTCTATCAAAACTCCAGATAACAAATTAGATATTCATAATAGTATGTAAAACTACAATACTAAAAGTCATAACCAACAATGAAAAATAGGAAGAGGAAGGAAAAATACGTAGAAGAATTACCCGCCTTGCTCCTATTGTGTCTCTGCCTCCTCAGGTTGAATTTGTGTCAAAAGTATGTCCAACTTTCTCAAAATACCGTTTTTCCATGTATATATACCAAGTAGGGTTGGCCCAAACAATTATACCTTCTCCAATGTGAAAAAGGACAAGTTTCCAGGCCTGGACTAGCGCGGGCTCGCTAGTGACCGCGCTAGTGGCCGCGCATATTAACAAGTGCACTGCCTCAGTCCGCGACCAGGTCCGCGATCGCGGTTTCGACCGCATTTTTCACCCTGTTCCGTTTGGAATTTGGAAAAATGTAAAATATGAAAGTTGTAGCCCTTTGAGTTAGATTTCCAACCATATATTGTAGAACCCAAGTGGAGTTCTGAGCAAAAAGTTATGTGCATTTTACTAGACAGTGCGCAATTGTTGAACCAATTGACAAGAGGTGATAATGTGATCGACATGTGACATCATTACTATTCTTATGAGACATATACCCTCTAATAGCGTATATTTCAAGTCAAAAAGATGAGTTCACATTTTTGAGTGTGTCTTCCCAGATTAACAAATCCTTTTCATGTTTATGTTCTTTTTTTTAGTAGTAATAGGATTATATATATTAGTTACTAAGCATCATTCAAACATATTACATAACATAGTGTCACTTGTAGTGACATTGGGGCAAGATAGCCCTGCATGCAAAATGCTATTAAATTGCAGTAAATTAGAGTATAATAAACGATTAAAATACGCAATTATAGCCTATCATCAATATAGACCATCAAATAGCATATATTTTAAGTAAAAAAGTTGAGTTCATATCCTCGAGGGTTCTTCCCACGTTAACAAATCTTCTTCATGAACACGTTCTTCATTTGCTAGAAAATCTGCACATTTGTCAACAATATCTTTGAAAAGCGCGAACAATTGCTAGAAACACAAGTTCATGCCATTCAAAACAAGAATCTTTAAAGGTCAAATTGCTTAAACAATTAGCTATTGAGTTAGCATGCTTATAGATATGGGTAGGCAATAGTGACCATATAGTTCCTAGCCAAGAGGTGATAATGTGATCGACATGTGACAACATTACTATTCTTATGAGACATATACCCTCTAATAGCGTATATTTCAAGTCAAAAAGATGAGTTCACATTTTTGAGTGTGTCTTCCCAGATTAACAAATCCTTTTTCATGTTTATGTTCTTTCTTTTTTTTTTTAGTAATAGGATTATATATATTAGTTACTAAGCATCATTCAAACATATTACATAACATAGTGTCTCTTGTAGTGACATTGGGACAAGATAGCCCTGCATGCAAAAAGCTATTATCACTTGCAATGTTTTGGTTTCCAAGGTTTCTAAGCATATTACAAACAAAAATAGGGGAGTAGTTGTTTTGAAATTGAATGTCCGCATTCCCCGCTCATATCCTTGGTAAGCACTTGTTCCACAAAAAACGGCGGTGCAACAAACAATTTTGTTCTTCCTGGCAAATATTTGTTGTTTTTTTGTTTTTTTGCTTCCTTTGCTAAAGCATTCGCAATTGCATTTCCTTCCCTAAAGTTAAGCCGAAGTAGGAGGCCCTTCTTCATTTACTAGAAAAATCTGCACATTTGTTTGCTTCCCTCCCGATGTATATAATGGTGGTAGCATTAATTGCTGAAGGCTAGACATCCTCTCCACATTGCAATTTGTTAGTTTTGTCTTTTTAGTCAAAAACTAAGATCCCTAAAGACTAGGAAGTTTCACATAGAATATAGTTGCTTCATCTTATCAAACACCATTTAGAATTCAAGTTTGTTTTACACCTGGAGACTTCTTGCTTTCACTTTATCAAATTCAAATATTTTCCTTTGGGAGCTATTAAAAAGGAAAAATATGGAGGCTATATCTCCTTGAATATGTTAATTCATCCGTTTTTCAGCAACTCTGCACAATTTACTAGTGTAAAAATTTCTCAAGATGAAAATATAGTCCTCTAATAAGCAACATTTTCACAGCATTTAAGATGTGAAATTTTCTATAGATTGCTTACACGTCTAAGATTTAAGAATTTGCTAATTGCATCCATTCTTTCATCGATACACGACGGTGTATGCTTACATACAGTAAACAATAAGTAGCACAGAGAAGACTAAAACTAGCCATAAATCAGGAAAAATTATTGATACTAAAACCTTGCACGAAAAGAAGTCTTAATATAGATAAACTCAACAAAGCTATCCCACCAAAGTCCTCTACTTAGATAAACGTTATCATGCACACATTGACAGCTTATCAAAAATAAAAGTGACTTAGTATCCATCATTGTCTCTAGCTTGACCATAGCCGCCACCAAATCCACCACCGGAGCCACCAAATCCACCACTTCGAGGAGCTCTCTCTTGGGCAATACTAACACGAATATTCCTTCCTTGGAGTTCCTGCAAGGAAATAACGTATGATAAGCCATGACGATAAACTCAAGCAGTTAACACAAACAAGAATATATAGCCACGACTGTAAACATATGACTTGCCCACAGGACCAAGTCTTCTGATATTCCCCTAATGAAATTTACCTGACCATCCATTGCCTTAATAGCCTCATTGGCACTTTCATCATCTGAGAAGTTCACAAATCCAAATCCCCTTGATCTGCCAGAATCTCTATCAACAATTACCCTCGCTGGACCAAAAAAAACACATTTTAGAGTAGTCAAAATACAAGCATAAACTGAGCAGCAAGCTAAGAGTAGCAGTGACTCTTCAGAGGAACCAAAACTACAATTGCAACTCCAAACTTAACAATCCTACCCCATCTTGACCAAGAAAGAGAGGTAATAACTTACATGACATAACAAATTTACAATAAACCATAGTACTGCAGGGCTCCCTGCCCAATCACTAGGTAAGCAACAACTTAAAACTAAAGATTAACAAATCTGAACTGCTCAATTTACATTTATGTAAGAAACCCTGTTCAAGAGCTGCTGAAAGCCCATCAAATTTTCATCAGTATGGTCTTTATTGAGAACTTAAACCTACAAACTTATACAGAAAAACCACACTACAATGAGTATAAACGGACACACAGGGCATGATCTACAGATCCTTCATAAACTACAATGATACCACATTATTTATGCGCACTTAATTTTCACTATGTTTATTCAAACATTGTCAGCAGAGATAAGAAAACTATTGATAATTAAGAAGCAGACA